ACTACGCAATTGCACTGGGGTGATGCTCAACAAATCCTTAGGAACCACTACTGCTTCTTGTTCCATACCTACCTGGCACCCCGGAGAAGGACTCTACTTTATTTTAGAGGAAATTCAATTTATATATTTAATTAATTTGTTAAAACTTCGTTTAGGGGCCCAGCAGGTGGCATAGTGATTAAAGGCATTGGACCCCCACATGGCCAACTACAGTTCGAGTCCCAGACCTGGCTGTTTACTTTCTCACTTTCCCTCTCTCTCTCTCTTACACTGTCCCTCTCTGGTCAAATTAAAATAAATAATAAATAAACAAAGTTAAATAAAATAATTCTTTAAAAAAAGAAAACTTCATTTAGGCAGACCAGCAGGCGGTTGGATCCCAAACGGCTGATTCTGTGGTTCAAGTCCTGGATCTGGCAGCTTGAAAATCATGCTGGGCATGTGTTCACGCATGCCCAAAATTCCAAGAAGAGAATGGAGAAGGGACTGTGGAGTGTCCATCCATCCTGGAGGTGGGGGGTGATTTCTCACTTTCCCTCTCCCTGTCTTTCATGAGTACAAGTACCCTCTAGCAAAAACTAAACAAACAAACAAAAACAAACAAGAAGAAGATTTCGTTTAGGACTTCGTGTCTATATTTATATTAATATTAACTTAGTTTTAGTTTAAAAAGTTGATGTCACATCAAGTTTCGAAATTATATATTTTTTTACCTCATAAATCGAACTGGATGAAAAATAATGCTTTTATGTATTTTTATGTAAAAGTATTGGTTTTTCTTTTTTTTTAGAGGTTTTTGCTATAGGGTGCATGCGCTCACCAGACAGAGAGAGACAGAGATAGAAAGTGAGAAATCACCCCCCAGGGGGGATGGCCACGTCGCAATCCCTTCTCCTCCATTTTCCTCTCTGGATCTTGGGCACGCACGCACACGTGCCCGGCGTGAGTTTTAAGCCACTGGGTCCAGGACGTGAACCCCGGTCGACTACGTGGGAGTTCAGCGACATAGCCATTATGCTAACTGCTGGTCCCAAAAGTATTGTTTTTATAGTTTCGCATAAGATGTGTAACAAAGGGATTATTTCTGTTCTCTTACATTTTTGTTTAATTCTCCCTAGGGAGTAGTGGATAGTGCATTGAACAGAGTGAAAAAGCCCAAGTTTTGAGGTGATCTTCTTAGTCTTAATTTTCGGTGTGGCCTTGAGTACGTTCCTGCCTCTTCCTAGGCCTCCATAGGATTAGAAAGGGTAGGACAGCTGGCTCAGCTGATTTCTCGGCCCTCATCCCGCCGGCCTTTCTGGTCAGAAACTGGTCCTTGGGCTTCTTTCAGCAGGCTCTCTCTGAGCCTTTCTGGTGCCCGCTGGCAGATTTCTAGCAAGCAAGATCTTTTTTTTTCATTTTTTTGTTTTTCCCCTTCTCTGAAGCACTTGCATTGTGTTCCTGTCCCTCCTCTGGCCCAAGGAACTATTTTCGCTTTCCAGGGGCAGGAGTGCTCCTAGGCAATGTCTGGGGCATTGGTTTCTAGGTTCCCTGTAATGAGCTCTGAGTATGGGCTCATCCTGCCTACCTCCAGGAGATGCACCACCATCTTTCGGGCATTTCCTTCTTTGCCTTTCTTGGTATCTGGCCCTGCCTTGAGCTCCTCTTTGTACTATTTATTTACTTATTTTTTAGAGAGATTTTTTGCTATAGTGTATGTACACCTATGGAGACACAGAAAGTTATACAGAGGGAAGATGAGAAATCACCCTCCAGGGAGGATCACCACACCATAATCTCCTCTCCTCCATTCTCCTCTCAGGATTTGGGGCACATACACACACACCCGGCATGAGTTTTAAGCTGTTGAGTTCTGGACTCAAACTACGGTGGGCCATGTGGGAGTTCAGGACCTTAACCACTATGCTACCTACTGGCCCTATCCTTGTACTGCTTCTAAAAGGGTCGGCCTCTGTCTTCCTTTCCCGCCCTCTGGAACATCTTCCTGGCTGACATGAGCTCCCTTGAAAGTCCTCACAACCACCTCCTTCTCTGTTCACTCTGCTAAGCCTCAGCTCACTGTGGTCCTCTAATGGCCACAAGAGAAGAGGGGGGGCCTGGGACAGAGTCAGGAGGTTACAGAACCCGGTATGGTGACCCTCTACTCATACCCCGCTGTTTGCGCCACATGGATAGGACGTCACTGCTTTCTCTGATAATCTTCACATGACCTGTCTCTGCCTCTCCAGCACCCCAGCCCTATCTGAGCCAAGAGAGGGCTTTGAAAGTGACTTCTTAAAATAGAGTTTTCCTTGTTACAGAAAAAATTATATTATTATTCAAAAATTAGAAAATTCAGATAAGTTCAAAGAAGAAAAAAGAATGTATAATCCTATCACACACTGATAACCACTATTAACCTTTCTTCCATTTTCCCCCCATGAATATATAAGTGCTTTTAAACATAATTGGAATCATGCTGAATGCACTGTTTCATAACCTGCTTTTTTCGATTGGCCCTATGCCACGAACATCTCTGTGTCACTGTGCAGTCTTCTTCTGCGTCATCATTTTTATAGGCAGGAAGACATACACCGTCCTATAGATGAACAAAGATGCATTCAGCCCTGCAACTGGCAGTAGGGTTGTTTCCCACTTGCCACTACTATAAGTATTATTGCAATGATAATCCTTATGAGAAAATAATTCCAGATTTCTTGTGTTAACTCCTAAGCAAACCCACAAGTGATAGTCAGACGGTAAGAATTTTTTGAGGTTCGTGATATACCTTGCCAAACTACCTTCCAATAAGGGTTTGCAGGATATCAAACCATTGGACGCGTACGCTTCCTCGTCATCCCTGCCCTGTGTTTATTGTTTGAAATCATCTAGTCTGGCGGGTGGGCCCGAGCTCCCTGGTGAACTCTGGGAAAAAGGGCCTGGATTCTGAGTCAATGGAATGCTGATCCTCCTTTGTCTCACAGGGATCAGTGCCTGTGACACGACTGGGGGAAGGACTCCGACACAATCTCCAGAGGAAAGAGACAGAGACTATTCAGGAAGTGGCCTCAAATTTTAGCTAGGTGGGCGTTTAGGTTGAGAAGGGTAGCACTTCTTCTTTCTTAAATTACCTGCCCATGGTGTAAGGGAAAAGGAATTTATTCTCTAAGGTATCCCAAAGTCACTGACAATAGGCAGATGAATAAAATACATAGAATTTATTTACCATATACGTGTGCACACAGAATCCTTCGGAATGAAGACCCAAAGATACAAGGGAAGCTGTTGGCTTATATACTTAGGCTCAATAAAGTGGGAGCATCCACATGAAAATGTGACTCTACAAAAAGGGTAGGAGCTGATGGAAGTGGACCAAGTGGGGAAGCCTAGCAGGGCCTGTCTGTTGGATCCTTCTGGGCCTTTCTGCGCAGCATTCCTTCCTCCCAGGAATGGGGCAGGACCCCTCTGGAATGAGGGTTTTATTATCTAATATCAGATAAGATAGGTCAGAGAATTTCCTTATGGCCAACTCTTACACAGAAAAGCAGAGGAAGTTAGAGTAATAGTGTTAGATTTTATGCTGGCTATAGGGAAACAAATTCTTATTCTTATCACCTGCCTTGGGGAATAGGAATTCCAATTTCTGTAGCTTGCTTTGGGGAAAAATGAGAGGTGAGAGACAGGAGGAATCATGCTTCTGAGGCCGCTTCTGAGGTTCCACTTGAGACTATCATCTTCTGAGCCCCAACACTGTCTTTTGTCCATTTGTCTTTTTCTTAGTGATTTGGGTAATATGTCAAAGCCTTTGTCTGTCGCCTACAGCATAAGTATTTGTTGCAAGTTATCCAATTTAGAGTTTTTAAAAAGATTTCTTTTATTTAACTTTATTTATTTGTCCATTAATTTTAATCTGACCAGAGAGGGACAGAGCAAAAGAGAGAGAGAGAGGGAAAATGAGAAAGCAAGCTGCCAGGTCTGTGACTCGAACCGCAGTCAACCATGTGGGATTCCAGTGCCCCCAACCACCACACCACCTGCCAGACCCCTATTTTAGATTTTTTTTTTTTATGGTTGTTTCTAACCATTTAAAATGCAGCAGACATTTTAAACTTGCATGTAGTCAGATCTTCAAATCTACTGGTCTTTTCCTTTGTGGTTTCTGTCTTTTTTGTTGTGCATAAAAAGACCTTTCCCATCCCCAGAGAGTATAAACATTTATCTGTATTTTGTTTGCGTTTGTTTCATTTTCAGATTCTCTAAAGTGTAGTTCATTTCTTGTCAAGTCTTGACCTTGTGTGAATAGGAGACACGCATACATGGCTCTCTCCTCAGGAACTTGGGCATGCCAGTGGCTCAACCAACTCCTGCCTTGGGGGACTCCAGACAACTTCCAAGGCCTTCGTCCTTGTCTTTCCATGGTTCTGGGAAAAAGATGTTCCCCAGAAATGAAAGGAGCCCTTTCATTATTTAATTGGCCTTTTTGAAAGAAGTTCATTGGTTGTGTTTGTCTGGTTTACTCACCAGAGAATTTTTAATTACAAGAATCCTTCCCAAAGAAAAGGACTAATTCATGCCCAACAGTATGTCCATAGAACAAGTGCACTCCATGTGGGCAGGTATTCTCTGTGGCTTCACTACTCCATCCCCCAGACCTAGAACAAATGCCTTGCACGTAGCAGGGACCCAACATATTAAATGAATATTAAATGAATGAATGCACAAGTGCCTATGATGTAGTCTTTTTTTTTTTAATGTAAAAAGGTAATAATATGGGGAAAATACTCAACTTGTTAGGTTAAAAAAATAATACTCATCATTCTTTCATTCAGTTAACTATTTACTGAACTGTGTTATGCATGGGGAAGAGACAATGTTGATCTAAAGATCGAACAGCTTATCATATTGTATCAGTCTTCTTTCTAGAGCTACCATAACAAAACACCACAGACTGAGTGTCTTAAACAACAAAATTTTATTGACTCATAATCCTAGAGGCTGGAAGTCCAGTATCAAGGAGATAGCATGGCTGTTTTCTGGTGAGAATTCTCTCCTTGCCTTCTGGGTCCTCACATGCCTTTTATCCCCGGTGTCTCTTTTCCTTATAAGGACACAGGTCCTGTTATTTTAGCACTCTACCCTCATGACCTTATTTAACCTTAGTTACCTCTCTAAAGGCTCTATCTCTGAATACAGTCACACTGAGGGTTAGGGCTTCAACACATGAATGGGGAGGGGAACACAATTCAGTCTATAACATATAGGTAAACTACTTAAAAATACTGTCTGGTGCATGTAAGCAGTACAAAAATGTTAACTATGATTAGTGATTGTTTTTATTACTAGCAAATACACAAAATGTTATTGTTATTATCTTTAAGGGGTGAGACCACGAGTGATCTTAATATTGATCTTTCAATATTTTTACACTGAACAATTTTATTCATGTGAAAATGAAACACTACTACACAATAAAAGATGTAGGTGGAACGTTGTCTTTAGCTCTCCAACGATTTCATCATATGTTCAAAGCCTTTGCTCCACATGGGATTCAGAATCCTGAGAAGATTCTGTACTTGGTTTCAGATTATCCCAGAAATGGCTCAGATCCCCGGATGTGTGAAGAAACAAAGATCTGACTCAGTTCACCCAGTGCCACCAGCCAGAGCGCCGTCTCCTAGTGAGTGCAGTGACCGGGGATGTACCATGCTGTGCCCATGCCAGGAAAACCTTTAGCAGTGAGTGAGTCAGTCTGAGTTCTTGGTTGCAAACGAAACCCTTACTGAGTATCTTAAACAGCAAAGGAGCCCATTAAATAATGTTAGATGCCTGATAGCACTTTGGGGAGGCTGAAGAAACACGCTCAGATTTTAGCTTCTGGGAACAACTCCCAGAACTATCCACCACCCATCACTCCTGCTACCACCTTTGTGCCAGCAATATGGATCCTAAGTGCAGGAATTTCTTCTACTCAGTTTTGGGTTTTGGATCAAAGGATCAAGAGGGTGTGTCTCACTGACACTAAGTCACATTTCCACCACTAGCTGCAAAGGAGACTAGACAAGTGAGTTTTCTAGATTCGAGCAGAAAGAAGTACTTACGACGTGGGAAACTATCAAAATATAGGAACGTGGCCACAATGTTGGAGGACTTCACCACCGTCAGAGAAGTATGGCTCAGGAGTCCAAGTGCAGGAAAACCTGAGCAGGTGGGGCTAAACCGACCTCTGCCTGTGAGGGACAGTGTCCACTCTGTGTCCGGAATGGCAGGGTGGTCATGTTGTTTTCACTGATAATAATGAAAACATAGCAGAACCACGGCTAGTAAGTCTTGGTACCCAGAAGTCTCTAGGTCAGCCATTCCTTGTACCTGTGAACACAGAAAAAGTTTCATAACAAAACAGAATCAAAAAGGCTGAGAATGGCATCCTTTGATGCCTGGCAAACTTGTACCCCAAGATTTAGAGCCCAACTCAAATAATTCCTCCTCTAGGAGGCCTCCCCTAGGCTATGTTAGGACCTACCCACTGTCGTCAAGCTCACTATGGGGGACCGCTGTTAGCGCCGCTTCCTGTCTGACTCCCCTCTCTCTCATTCCCAGCGGGGACCAGACACAAAGCTCATACTGAACACTAACTGGAAAGGGAAGGAATGAACAATGAATGGGAGTGAGGAGGCCAGAACTGCTGTGTGACGCGAGGCAAATAGTCTCCTCTCTGGACTTCAGTTTTTTTCCTTTGTCAAGGGGGAAGGATAATACTCTTTGCATTCTCTGGGCCAAACCTTATGCCAGGGCTGAAAACATGATTAGAGTCCTGCCTGGCAGCCCTCTCAGAGATGCTGGTCTGGAAAGAGACAGTGTAAACAGAGGTGGCCATTCTTGCAGCTGACTTAGCTGACCAAGAGGGATGTCTGAGGGCTCTCTAGGTGGCCTAGGAATTTCTGAGTCTTGGTTCCCTCCTGTGAGGTCCATGGCTCTCACATCCATGCAGTCTAGAGGCCTCGGAGTTGCAGCTGCCTATGCCCACAGATGGATACCCAGGGAGGACAGAGACCTCAGGAATCCAGAACAGGGAAGAACAAGTCCCCTTACCCAGTCATGATCCCACAGCCAAGGTCAGGGGAACCCAAGCCATGCTCAAAGGAAAACAGAAAAGTACTCGGTTAGCTGTAATCAGTCACAGCTCTAGCATGGGTTTTGGAATTAAAATATTCACAAGTAGCAGAGACATCTGTAGGGAGAGTAACCGGATGCCACATCCTGCAGGAGGCCAGGCTAAAAGTGTCCCATGACGTCACTTGGAGGGGAGGCTGCCAGAAGCAGTATCAGGGCCTGGAGTGTTCTGTAGCTGCAGAGGGGTGCTGGGCCTGGGGCTTACTGCCTTGCGCCTGGACCCTCTGCTCTGTGGAGAAACTTTCTGCTGGTCCTCTGGCTTACAAAGAAATTGTCCACCTTCTTGACCAATCTGGTCTGGGGAAAAGACATCCTTTCTGCCCAGCCTTCTTGTTCCTCCCCCCCCCCCCCCCCCCCCC